CTGTCTCTCTCTCTCTCTCTCTACACACACACACATATATATACACACATACATATACATATATAACATATATATGTCTCATTGTCTTTATCAATATCAATATCAATATAAATATAAATATAAATATAAATATAAATATAAATATATAGATATATATACATGCCTCGTTCAGAAACCAAACTTATTGTAAGACTACAGCTCTTTGGTAAGATGGCCTGTGTAATATCTAACCGAAAGGCACAAAGTTTGGCCCTAGCTTGTATGACAGACAGACAGACAGACAGACAGACAGACAGACAGACAGACAGACAGACAGACAGACAAACAGAGGTATCTGCGTGAGCACGTGCACGTCTGCATGCAGATGTCGCGGCTCTTTAGATTTAAAAGCGTGCATCTGCAAAACCTGACGAAGCCCGCCTGAAAAGCGGAAGACCTCGTCAAAGGCCTGACACGGCAGATGAAGCTTGCAGCTCCGCTCTCGCCTCTACATCGTTTGCAGCGCATGTCCGCAGTGCGTGTGACAACAAGAAACATCAATTTCATAAGTGGCCTTTCTGCTTACCCCCAAGTACACCTCGTCTCCTCCCTCTTCGTGCGCAACCCTGGCATTCGTTTAGCAGCGTGCACGAACTCAGACTTACGTCATGCGCATCCACAGCCAGAAAAATAAGCAAACATGCATAATATGCAAACACAGTTTACAAACAAAAACATGCATGCACCAGCCCTGGCAGAGGTATTGCCAGTCAACAGTTGCCAGTAGGAGCAGCAGCAGTCGTCGTCGTGGCCATGGTGGGACGGCGGCGGTAGCAGTAGCAGAAGAAGTGGCGCTAGTAAGTAGTAAGACATCGTCGTAGTTGTCGTCGTAGTAGCAGTGGTGGTGGTGGTGGTGGTGGTGGTGGTAGTAGTTGTAGTAGTAGTAGTAGTAGTAGTAGTAGTAGTGGTAGTAGTGGTAGTAGTAGTAGTAGTAGCAGCAGCAGCAGTGCTGGTGGTGGTGGTGGTGGTGGTCGTCGTAGTAGTAGTAGTAGTAGTCGTCGTCGTCGTCGTCGTCGTTGTCGCCGTCGTCGTCGTAGCAGTCGCAGTTGCAGTGGTAGTGGTAGGAGGAGCGGCAGCAGTAGCAGCAGCAGAAGCAGGCCCAGCAATAGTAGCAGTAGCAGTAGCAGAGACAAAAACAGTAAGAGGAGGCGGAGGAGGAGGAGTCGTCGTAGCAGTGGCAGTGGTCGTGGTAGATGTAGTGAATGTAGTGGTAGGAGGAGGTAGGTAGGTCGGTCGCTGGGTCGGTAGGTACCAGTAGCAGTGATGGTAGCTTCGCATTGCATCTCTCGAGCCTGGGACTTCACATCGAGCGACCTCCACACCGAGTTGGAGTCCCCCTGATGAAGCGGATGCCGAAAGCTTGGCATGAGATGCATGCATTACGAAATTGCGTGTTGAATTGAGATATGTACCTATCAAGCAAGTACAAGCATGTAGATGTAAAGTTACTTCTTCACAAACCAGGCTGGCTATTTCTTGGGTTGTCCGGCCAGCGACCTCTCCACGACATGTGACATGTGTGGGGTGGCCTCAGCCAACAAAGCATCTCATGAAGTTGCTGCTGCTGTGAAGCTTTTGTGCATGTCTTCTGTGTGCGAGTAACAACTTGAGAGCAATCCTCAGTATCTAGGTTTTCTGAAGTAGTCTCAGATGAAGATACGAATCACGCTCAGGGGTCGGTGCTCACAGGAGTTTGCATGTTACGTGTCTGTTACAGTTGTTGGCATTGGTACTTAGCACAGAAAAAGGTTTGTCTAAATATGCTGCAAACAGAAGTGCATGCAGAAGGATTCTTGCAGTCTGTGAAGCAGCAACTCGATGCTCGATCCCGTTAACTATTTGTGGCGCTTCCTTCTGCTTCAGGCTGACGAGGTTGTATTCAAGTCCTGGGGGTCCCTTAATGCCTACAAATTGGAGATCCATTCGATCTTTGATCTCTAGTTAAGCTATAAGCCGCCGGCCACCTGTTGCGGGTCGGCGCGGCTGATGTTGATCTCCCAGTTGCACAGCTGGACCACGGTGGTGGTGGTCGTCGTCTGCAGTGCAATTAGGTGACAACACTTCGCACAGGCGATTCTGACATGTTTGCTGCGCGCAGCAGGGTCCCACAGGCACAAGCGGTGCAGTTCAGAACAAGGTCTAACTCCAAACAACGAGGAGCAGACTGTACACGATTGAGCAGGAGCACGATTCCGCGGCATACATGAGTATGCCAGAAATTATGCACTGCATTGCAGCTTTCTGCTTCTAGTCCCGGCACACCGGGCCAGCACCGCTGCATCATGCTTTTATGGCTGGGATGGTCTTCGAGCTGTTTCTGAGCGCGTCACCCCCGAACCAAGCGCCATGTGGACGATGCAGCTGCCTTGGAGGTGTGAGGAAAGCGTCAAGAGCGAGACATAGCGAGACGAGCAAGAGTTCAGCGGCCGCGCAATTCCCGAAGGCTTACATGAGTTTGTGCTGGAGCGAGAGATGCTTATGAACTCAGCTGGGAGCCCATAAAACCGTCGTCCAGCCCCGCAATTCCATGAGCGTGAGAACTTCAGCTTGGTGGCCAATTGCAGACTCCTCGACACCATGGAGGTCGAGGCCCGGGGAGGCAATCAAGATCACCGGAGACTCCTGCAACGCTTGCGCTTGCGAACTCGGAAAGGGAGCAATCAGGACGAAATGAAGAGGATGGCTGGGAGCAAGATCTACATCAGTCTATGTCCTCCGACGCACCGTCACACTTCGTGTCGTAGATGCCGAAGCCTGAACATCTACTTGTTCAGTGAGCTGTAAAAGGAGGGCCGGGTAACCCCAGAATTCACTGAGAAGCGCCCACGAACCGCCAACTTGTCCAAGCTTTAACTTGCAGAGACCATGCAATTTCCTCATTCCTGGTTCGGAACTAAGCTGACGAGTCCATCAAAGATAACTTTCAAACAAAAACACAATTGGCAACCTAGCAACGGCAATAAGTGACAATTCGACTATGCAATCTTAGTTGGCAATACAACTGATACCTACTACCCACTACCACTACCACTAC